GGCCTGGGTTTTAATATGAGACTGATTCAGCAGGATCATCACTTAAAGGACATAAGGGCCTGCTACTTAATGCAGCTTCAATTCTTGAAAACAACGTACCATAACAAAATTCCGCACTCGATCTGACAATATTTCTGAAGTTAAACCGCGACGTGCGATGAAACGATCAAGTGCAGAGAGAAAAGCGATTGTACTAAGTTCCGAAACAAATTCAAGTGAACAGCTTTAGTTGCTGTACAGACAAACAAACACAAAGAGCTTTTGGTTAATAATGGCTTGCGAGAAAAATTTGATCGGACCGTAAAAGGACCTGAAAATCGACGCCGACGTGTGGGAAAAGGCGAGAGCCAGTGACGCGACATGAGGGAAGATCTCCCAGTTGAGGTTGGTAAGAAGTCGGTAAGCATGCCATTTGTACTGATTTAACTAGTTGAGCCAAGTGTATAGGAGTGCAATGTTCCAGGCGAGGAATTGACATGACCTTGAGAGGTGCAACTTTAGTTTTTACTTTCAATAAATGTCATTAACAATGACCCGAGTTTGAGCGGATGCAAAGATAGACGGCTGCAGCATATCGTTTCTCATAAGAATAGCAAAATTCCACGAACGTCATGCTAACAAAAGATGAGGGAAAAATACATCGAGGGATTCGAAGGGAGGATACCAGATATGTGTTCTGAGTCAGCCGAACCAAATCAGCTTCTAATTAAGCAGGAATCAAATCGTCCCACTCGGCTTTGGTTAGCCATAATTTTGGCAAAATCACTTTCATAGCAAAAACCAAAGGAGCAAGAAAACCAATCGGGTCAAAGATTCTGGCAATATCCGACATGACGGTACGCATTGTAGCTTCACCCTGGAACGAGAATACTCGAAACATGCGTCTGTTTACGGCTCCCAGCTGAGGTCCAATATTTCAACTGTTTGGCCACCATCGTCAGAAAAATTCAGTTGCGATTCGATGTGGACAGAGGGCAAATCCTTCAATACCGTCGGAGAAATACTCGTCCATTTGCGGAGCTCGAAACCACCTTTTCCAAGTAAAGCACGTAATTGTTCATGCAGATCAATAGCAGAGGTTACATCCTCGGCTCCGGTGATCGCGTCGTCGACGTGCATGTTTTCAATATTGCGTGTGAAGCAGCAGGATAAGGTACACCTTCATCAGCCACAAGCTGATTAATTGATATGATAGCCAAATAAACGGAAGATGCGAGACAGTAAGAAACGACAGTTCAAACTCTTGATCTGGAGAGGGACGCCAAAAAATATGCTGGGCATGACGATTTTCGTGGATTTGAAAAAAAAAAAAAAAAAAAACATTTATGAGCCCTCGTTTTGACCTTTTAGTTTTGGTTTTATCGTTAATTAGATGATCAAATTTCTTTTTTGTGTATTGATATAGTGCCAAAAGTGAATTTGATTCGTTCAGATTGTGTTTTATTAGGTCGCATGTATATTTTAATTCATTTTTTAATACATCTAGTCAATAAAGTGTATGAATGTATAGTATTTAACTATTGTGTGCCTGTGGTAGTTGAATAGCAACAATACCAGGTCCATTCATCAAGTCAGTTATTTCGACTGGTCTGGCTCGCTTAAGTCAGGAGAATCAGTGCGAGTAACGTCCTCATCTGTAACAGATAGAGGGTTTCCTGAAAATTCCCGTGGTCTCATGATAAGATGGGGTGTATTTTACATTATTTTCTTCGAATGGTGGCTAGTTTTGTATCGTGAGAATAAATGCCTTTTTTATGTTTAGGTTTAGCTTTTCCAAACTGTTGGTCTCGTATAGAAATTTCTCCTTCGGGAATGAACGTTTTCTCGGGTTTGATTGAATTTATATATTCTGTTTTCTTTTTCATTTTCGATTTGTTTTTTTATTGCTAATTACAAGTTCTCTGTTGTCGTGGTATTCTTTAATTTTCTGTTTTACGATAACGTCTTCTGTGTATGAATGTTGTGTTGGTCGGTAAGTTGATAACATGATGTCTTTGGGTATTGCTGTAGGGCGTAATGTAGTTTTCAGAAGATCCCGTATCTATTGACCATTTTAGTCCGTGCCCGTCAATGAAAATGTGGTAATGATAGGTTCACAGAATTTAATTGATATTCGGGGGGCTTCCTTTCGATTTTTTGGCTACTCCTAAAAATTGATCGAATTTTTCTGTTAGTGTCTCGATGATTTTTTCTAATTTTGTCAGACTGTCTTCAACAACATGATTCGTCTTTTTTTCTTATAATGGATCACTTCGTAGGGAGATCGTAAATCGGACATTCGCGGTCTACCTATGGAACGCATAGAAACTGTGTTTTGCGAATCATGTTTATACGCGGGTCTGTTTTTATTAAACGGATGATTTGGGTCGTTGGGGCGGTCCTCTAAAGTATTGTCTTTTATTGTATTGGTAGTTGGGTTTATTTTCAAATGTTCTGTTGAAGTTGAAGTGTTGTTGTTGTTGCTGTTGTTTATAATTTTGGAATTTGTTGAATGGTGTATGTTGTACATGAGAATATTGTTTATTAAAATACGTAGGGTTATTATAATGGTTTGGAATTCTATTGGATTCAATGGATTTCTTGTAGTTGATATTAGATAATACACAAGAACATTTGTTATATATCATGCTTCTAATTTCATCTATTGTTTCTGGATTAAATATCATAATGTGGTTACTTAAAGCGGAAGGTAAACATTTAAAATGTGAAATATAATTTTTTTAAATCTATCCTAGTCATTAATTCAAGGTGTCTGAATTTACTCCGTCTAGCATTCGTCGAATACAAACTAAGTTTCGTGATTCTTGAATTGTGTTAACAAATTCTATCGGGGATTCTTTAGCATTGAGTCTAGTTTGTATTATTTCTTCTTTAAGAATTTCGTATGACCTTGAATCAGCGAAATTTTGTTTCAAATGTTTAATTAAAATTAGTAAATGATTTACACCATGCGAAATATGTACATTTCTGGCAGGGCCAATTAGTTTGCGTTTTGTTTTTACGAATAAAACATTATGATTGAAATCTCTTTTGATAATATTTTCTACACACAATACGCTGTATACAGTTTCCAAAATTTCACAAAAGAAGGCTAGTTCTGAAGGGTTTCCATCGAAAAAAGAATGTGATCGTAGTCTTCTTTTGTTATTTTATAATTAATTTTTGTAGACACGCTAGAAGGAAGTATTAACTTGGAAGGCTTAATAAGCAAAAGATGGCTACTTACTTCTACGATAGTGTTCTTCTTCATTTGCTACTTCTTCTTTCTTCGTTCTTCTCTCTTTGGCTTCACTTAAAGAGAAGTTTCTTTGAACCGCTATCAAAGCACCGATGTGAACGCTTAAAGTTCCGTTGAGTCAAATGGACACAACTGCGGTACAAATGATCACGTCTTTAAAAATTTAGCTATTCGCGGTCCCTGTTCCGGGCGCCAGTGAAGTAATCGCCCGAAGAATTCTTTTTAAAAAAAGAAGAAACTTTATTGTTAAAACTGCACAATGTTTAATTTTAAACCGACAGAGTGATGGGGAGTAAGCTATCGTACGAGTAAGGCCCGGATATTTGGGGATTGGGGTTTTCATACTATTTTAAAGAAGTGCTGAGTAAGATGACGGGCGGCCGTCTGGACTCGCCAGACTTTGCTGACGTGTTGGTCTGAGGGGCGTTGATTACTCCATAACTTGGATACCGATGAGGCAGTTGATGTTTCTCATAATTCGTAATCGTTCGTGGGAAGTGGGCCTCTCGTCGTATGAATTGAAGCGACCTGCTGCAACAGCCCGCCACCAGCAAATCAGGAGGATATGGTGTAGCGAGCGCCTAGAATACAACGCCAATTGCAATGCTGTTTTGTTTACGATGAGTAGCTGTTTTGTCTGTACAGCAGGTCGCCGAAAAGTTTAACCAGAACCGTTGCTTCAGGTTGGACTGTGAGAGGTCTTTGTCTCTCTCTTTCTCTCTCATTAATTTTAATCCTATGTACATAGTACTTATAAATAGCTGTAATTCTAGTCAAAATACTCTGTGATCATAAATGTTACCTATAAGAAATTGCTACTCAGAACAAAATTGTTGAAGCCACAATCATATGGGTTTTTATTAGCGAGATGACTGTTTTCACCATGTTAAATGTAATTTGCTGGCCATGTGATTCATAACCTTAAACCCAAGTCGTTTTTACAATAGTTTTACCATGTTAATCGTTTTCTGCATTCTTGGGAAAGCCCTGATGATGGCACTATAAGTTGCCGAAAGCTTGGTGAACCCAACAATTAGACTTTTCCTTTCTTCACATGTCTAATGACCTCCATGAAGACTCAAAATGTTAGTTTTCTGTGTAATTTCATTTCACTTAATTCTCAATAAAGATCGAAACGTTGGCACGACAAAGAAGATGTTAGTTAACTAAATTAAATTAACTAATGGTCACTGAACATCATACACTTTATATCAATGTTTTGCGTTCTACTTTTGGTTCAGTAGAAAAACCTTCATAAAACCGCCATTTTCCTTTCAGATTTTCCCCACCGTATGGACCTTTAGGCAGACTTAATGCCTGAATAAATCAGTTGTCAACACTATGAAAGCTTGATTTGAAGTCCAAGTCTTAACAATAAGTCTAGTCTTGGTAGAGTTAGTTGAAACTGTGAGGAAGGAAACGTGCTAACCACCTGTTTTGTTCCCCTCAAAATATTGCCCTATGGGTCATTAAATGTGTTTAGTGTAAAAGGAGTTTATAATGACACTCCAGGTTCATTGTTTCATCGTTAGGCACGGCGTAATGAAGGGAAAACCATTTAAGAGAGTCTATTTAAAGTTAACTGTAAGTGAAATCTGATGCCTCTTTGGCACGGTAATGGCCATGAAACTAAGATAAATGATTCAATTTAAGTTCACTGCATTTTTTAAATTATATTATTAAAAATACACGTATTAATTTTATATATTATACTTATAATATAACATTATAGAATTTCTAATTCTTTTTTTTTTGTCAACAGCTAGCTCACCGCTGTGGCCAGGTAATGCACAAGAAAGAAATCGTATGTTAATTATTTTATCTATTAATTAGCTGTATTTTATGGTTTTCTGCCCCCATACATACTCCTGTCGCTCCTTTTTTTTCTCTACCGTATATGCATTTTACTAAATAGCATAAATCAATTACTAGTCACCGCTGGTTTTCTCAAAAACCACTCAACCTAGAATCAAAATTTAAAAAGTATTTTTTGGCGCATAAGCTCTACTTTCAAACATTACAATTTCCTAAATAATGATTTTTGTGTATACATTTTGGTCCATTTTAAATTAAACTTAGCAATGATGGGAAATAGATCAGACTAAGCCCATTAGTCCAACAAATTTCACGACGTCCTTTTTTTCGGCGATCTTTATTATAATCAAAATTTAAATTGTAAAACAACTCGTATTATCAGTTAATGTGACGTAAATTACGTAGATATAACGAAAGTAAAGTTTATCGTGGGGGCTCAAATTGATAATGTGATTAACGGAACTTGTGGTAAACTTCATTGATAATTGCAGTAGCAAACAGCCATCCGCGTCTGGAAATTATCCTTCAACTTGAATAACTACATAATTATGATGATTAATTTGGTTCGGCGTTATGACAACTTGTCTCTATCAGACAATTTTTGTGATGTATAGATCTTAGTATCCAGTGTGTCAACATTCTCGAAACTACTCTACTTATATATAAAAAAACAAATGTTTTTATAAATATAAGCATTACTTTCAAACATTACAATAATAGCAGTTGTTTTTCTCTTTCTTCAAATAGGATCAAATAAATTTGAACAAATTTTATTGATATTTAATATTGTACATTTTATTTATTTTCTTTGTATTATTTTTTGTAAAGAATGTTGATTTTTTTTTTATTGGGGCTTCCGACATCTAGGTCATTTCAGCCCCCAACTATGTCTATATTCTATTTACCCTTTCAAACACTACATTCATACAAATAAATACATTCATACATATAAATACATCCATACAGTACACTCATTCCGATTGTTCGGTGGAGTACTTGATATTCCTCCACCGACCCTATATTCAAACTAATCTAGATTGGGGTCGATGGAGTACTTTTATAAATATTNGGGGTTCGAACCCACGATCTTCGGCTAGATACGCCGCTGCTCTACCACTTGAGCTATCGTGACCTCGATCCACTCGGACATCAACTTCCTATCTCAACCCCACCTTATGAGTTTTCCCTCCTTTTTGCCATTTTTCAAAGTGTCATACATTTCTGAAACTAGTATCTAATTAACATAAGTTTTGTAAGATTTCCTCCGCTATAAGGTGATGAACCTGTAATCTGGCAATTTCGGATCTGACCACCGAAAAAAACAGCAAGGTGAACTGAAACGACTAAACACCATTTCACAATCTAGCAAACTACGATACAAGAAGAAATCCTTTAGCACGTTCACTGCAGAAGACGCTAAGTGGCGTTAAACGCTCAGCTGCTTCATTAAGCGGATGACGCCAGAGTTAGATGTTTCACAAGGTGGAACACACCAATTTGGCGTCAAGCTCTCATGTGTTTCAAATTTATTAGAAAATGGTGAAACAAGTCAAATCGAATAGTTCCCTCAATATAATGTTGATCAATTGTATACACGAAAGTTTGAGGAAAAAGGTAAAAGCGACGTAAAAAGATATTGCTGATATTTTGACTTCTGTCAGAAGCGTTTTGACATTTCGCCTTTTCCACAGACACACTGTGGATAACGCAATATCGAACCGCGTTTGGGAGATCAACTTGCAAACACACGACGAAATTGCCCCATAACGAGCAAATTTCATGATTACAAATTGTTTATATTGAAAAATATCAAATGCTATTTTCTATCATCAAATATGGACTCAAAAATATATTACTCATTTTATTTGTACAAAAAACAAAAACATATATTATTAAATAATCAAAGAGCCACATTTTAAAATTAAACCCCTTTTCCTGTCGTAAAGAGACCAACATGTTCTAAACTTGTTTTTTATTTTTAAAGGTTCCGTTCTGGCCGAGGTTCGGATGACGGTTCAGTGTGGTACGGGAACACGCTGAAAAGACTCCCATTTTCAAATCCTACCTGGCAAAGAATGAGCTTCGCCTACAGAGAATGTACTTAAATTAATGTGTGTTCTTCGGCTTAGCTTCGTACCACAATTGGGTCAGGGTCAATACAACATCCAATTATCCACTGATTGCTTACAGAGGCTCTAACTGGAAACTTGCTTAACGCAATTTCTCATCATCACACTCCGGTTTCGTTCAAACGGAAAATATTTTTTATATCTTAGTGGTCAAGATGAACTCGCTCGTTTTTTCCAAGAGTTAACAAATACTTATTACTAACAAGAAATATGATCATTTAATTGATCGATCATAAATAGACTATTACCTAAGGAAATAAATTTAAAATTCTATAACACTTGCAAAATATATAGGAAGTTTGTAAATGTTTCCGTGAAAATATGTCCATACGAACACTTTATGAATATTACTATTTACAATTTTATTTTGTGCATTATATACTATTTTATTTTAAAATTTTCTGGCACTATTCTTCAATTCAACAAATCTCTAAGTTAAGTCATGGAGACTTTCCTGCTTATTTCTATGACTGGCTGTATCTTGCCTTCCCATCTCGACTAACTCTGCTAAAAGGATGTTCAATTCAATTTTACTATTTTATCTTTAGAAAAATTTCTTATCAGAATATTTTACTCCTTTTGTAAATTTTATAAGGCCAAAATAACAAATATCTGGCTTGCTCATATTAGATTTTCTGTACATTAAGGAAGAGTATGGAAAAATGTAAACCCGATGCTGTTTGAGATGAGATAGTATCTCCACCTTATTGTTAGTTATCAGTGACGAAAAAGTTCCTGAAATGAAATACCCAAGAAAATGCGTGATAGGTTGTGAAGGATTTTTTCTTTGACATCTTTTATTTGTTTATTTTAAAGGTAGAAATAGAGCTTTAATTAGCCCCTTTACATAACTTATATTAGAAATAAATTAAGTTTTATAACCATAGTAAACAATGATAACACAAGTAATAATAACATATACAATAAAATAAAATATAAAAAATAATAATGACAATAATATATTCTTTAAAATATTACTTTATTATAATTATAATATTATTTATAATCGAATGAGGAAACTACATTATGAAAGAAAAGCAGAAAGAGAGAAAAAAAGGAAACGGGGAAAAAAGAAGAGAAAAGAAAATGAGATGATTTATGTCGTTTTTAACAATTTCGATGTCTTTGACCAGAAACAAGTCAGCGAGGAAGCAGAACGTAATTGCTGGAGAAGCAAATTCCATAGTCTTCTCCCTGCATTAAATAAAGGTTTAGAGTAGTGTTGAAGGCTCGGGATATGATTGGAAATATGTACATATTATTTCATGTAATCTTGAAGTTAAAAGTAACGCCGAGAATTTTAACTTTAGGACAAAAATTAATAGGGGGGGGGCTTTGATATGTGGAGGTGATAGGCAGTCTGTACTAATAGGTTTATTGGAAATTTATAAAGACTGGGACTTCTTAGGGTTTAAAAGAATGCCGTTATTTCTTGACCACTGGTTGAGACAATGAAGATCACGGTTGAGTAGCGAGATAGCTATAGAGGTGTTGCATTGGACATCGAAAACAAAGCTGAGTGTTATCAGCATAAAGATGAAATTCGGAGAAATTAAGAACTAAGAGACGATCATTTAGAAACATGGAAAAGAGTAGAGGTCCAAATATAGAACCTTGGTGTACACCAGGTGAAATGTAGAGAGAAGAGGAGATGGAATTTGAAGCTTAGCTCTCTGAATTCTGGCAGACAGATAGGAGTAAAGGAGATTAGTAGCAGTAGAAGAAAAACCAAAAAGATGCGTCATTTTCCAAATAAGTAAATTATTATGAACCAAATGCATTGGAAAAATCAAGTAGAACAGTTAAAGTTCACTTATTATCCTCAATGCCTAGGCGAATATCATCTGAAATTCTGAGAAGGGTGTCTCACAAGTATGATATTTTAGGAAGCCAGATTGAAAAGGGTATAGAAGGGTATGGTGTAAAAAAAAGGATATTTGTTTAAATAAAATCCTCTCAAATGCTTTTGGTAGTGATGAAAGAATACTAATAGACCGATTGTCACTAGCAAGAATGTGTTTAGGTTTCTTATGTAATGGGACTATTAGGACTTACTTCCTGGCTGAAGAAAAAAGGATGAGGTATGAGAGATATTCAAAATGTGGGTTATGTATGTTAAATAACAGGAAGGGAAAAGTTATGATTTTAATAGGAATAAGATCAGAAACTCTAGCATAAGATTTAATAGAAATGATGGCTTCTAAAACACATTCATGAGTAATATTTGAAAAACTAATGGACAATGTACCTCGTTCTTGATGAGCAGAAAATGAAGTTTTAGTCTGGAGGGAAGAGGACATGGAAGGCAAAAACGAGTTTAATTTATTAACATCAGGGCATGAATGAGAGCTGTCGACTTTGTTTCTAAGTCTAAGTTTTCTAATGTTGTTCCAAAATGACTTAGGCGGTAAATTACGATCAAGCAGTTTATTAAAAGTCATTTTCTGTGATTTGCGGTCTAGATTTGTAGCTTTTCCTTAGAATTTTAAACTTAGATAGGTCCGATGAATTGGAATCCTGGTGAATTTCCATTTGTTTTAGGCTGAATCACGATATTTAAAAGCAAATTTAATTGTGTGAGAAAACCAAGGAGTGGCAGAAGGAAAAATTTTCATCTTCATTAATGAAACTATTAAGTTCAAGACAAAAGGGAAATTACTATTTAGGATGGTTAACATTTCATTAATATTTGTGACATTAAAATAGGATCCCAATTTAATTTTGAAAAGGATTCAATGACAGTTTAAGATGAAATAGTGTCATTTACGACATTCGATGTACCGAGGAGAAACTTAAAGGATTGAATATAAACTGTTACAAAGGGCATATGAACAGAAAC